ATAATGAATACCACCATTGTATAAAATTATACTGCACCAATAAAAACTTGCTTCCTTTCAGTCATATAAGGATATTATACTTATTTATTTTCTCTACTAGTCTTACAAAAAACATCATGACTTGATAGTACATAAAGAGGAACTTAATTTCAGAAGTTATCAACACACTTACAGCAAGGACATCTCAACTTCTTCCCCTTATACTTTCATGGCTACTTTTGATTTTCCTCACTCATTTGTTCCTCCCTCAGTCACATAAAAGAGGACCAACATCATTTTCTCTTCTAGTTCACAGGTAACATTAGTTCAACATTTGTAGTCTCACTTTTCTAGGAGCTTCAATTAATTGACTTTATGTTTCACTGTTTTAAAAAAATCATTTCTCAGTGCTAGTCTCATCTCTGAAAATCATATAATCTTAGGCCTGTCAAACACAGTCTATGCCATGTAGCCCAACTTCAATTTTTCTAGATAAAAACACTGAGGCCTGCAGAAGTTCAGTGAACCTCAGGTCTTCACCTGGCTCATTAGTGACAGAACAGAACTGGACCCATACTAATCCTGCCCCCTCATTATGCAACTGATGAGCAGCATTCACTATAGATGATCACACCAGTGGAGGAAAACTATCCTGCAATCCCTTCACTTTATACATGTTTATGGAACTCGATTCACAATAGCTAAGCTATGGAACCCACCTAGGTGCCCTTCAACAAATAAATGGATTAAGAAAATGTGGTATATATATACACAATGGAATATTACTTAGCCATAAAAAGAAAGACTTTATGATTTTTACCATTAAATGGATGGATCTGAAGACTACTGTGCTAACTTAAACAAGCCAATCCCAAAAAAACCAAAGGTTGGATGTTCTGATATGTGGAAGCTACCATAACTTTCCTATGTTAATATATGAATACACCACCAGTGAAACTCCACCTGACATACAACCACAAGAATGGGATCCTAGTTAGAATAAGTTATACTCCATTATGCCATATATTATAGTATAATATGCCATAACATGTCATAATACACTTTACTGTCATGTGTACCTTAAAAGAACAAATTTTTTAAAAGTTGAGGCTCCAAGAAATGACATGTAATTAGCTTGAGTTCACTTTGTTATTGTTGGTAGAAAAAAAGAACAGATATCTCATATTCTTTCCTCAACAAACTCACAGAGAGGTTACATATAAATTAAAGAAAAAGCTTGGTCTGATGAAATGAAATCAAATTACACCACGTGGAACATTGATTCTTAGTAATAAACGACTGTAAGACTCTGAAATCTCCATGCTCTTGGAGACTCAGGATTCACTGAAGTCTCCACAGATCCCTGCACCAAATGAATCTGTTAAACCTGAAGTAACCCAGAGTTTTCCAAATGTACATAGCCACAGAACACTTTATCTCATAAAAACCATTTCATCCTGAGAAATTCTGTTTTGGTGGATATTTTGTGATTTTTTTTGGTTGAAAGCATGGAGACTGAATTCTAATCTCAGATTTGCCAATGTCTGGATATGTGTGTGTGAATAAATTACTTGATTCACTTTTTCATGTGTAACAAAAAAGGATAGGAGAGAAAACAAGTTACAAAGCCCTCCTCATCTATATAAGTGCTTTGTAGTTTCATCGGTTGTACACATGCTGAGTGAAAAGATGTAGATTAGATAGATGGATGGATAGATAGACACATAGAGAGACAGATATCCTTAATATAAGATTACTATCAGCATCCCTAGAAATGCAAATTTGCAGGCATATGTGAAACATTTTTAATTTCGACAATCCCCTTTCTATGCTCCCAGTGATTGGAGCTGGCATAGGAAAATTCTGTTCAGTCACATTGGTGGAACTCATGCTCATGTCTATAACTCACTGGGAAGGAGTTAGGGAAATGGTTTAATTGTGTGCCACATCCAGTTGTGAGTCCCCATCATAGTAAACTATCTTAGAATACTCGTACTGTATTTATCTTGGGAGCTGGGGAATGACAGAAGCTTTTAAAATTCTGTATAAGGTAGTGACTGAATGAATGGTATAAAATGCTATGGTAGGAACCCACACCACCATACTTGGACATTAGAGTTCTAAGAACTGTCTCTTCATTTTAAGTATATGGCAGTGTAGGTTACTTAATCTTTCTGAGTTTTAGTTGCTTTAAATGTAAAGGATATAAGGATATAATGTTTTCCTACTTAATTGAACTATTCTGAAGATCAAATGAGATATGTAAGTAAGAGATATTAGTACTGTAATCAGTTGTGAAGAAATTGTTATGTTGTCATAATATTTCTAATAGTGGATAGCCAGATAAGCACAATTTTTTGACTTCACAAACTAATCTTTGAATACAAAAGGGCACTTTGTATATATTGCTTCAAAAAATCATCCAGCAAAGTTTTATCTAAACTTTTTGTGTTATATTTGCCATTTGGAGGACCTGACAGAATTTTCTGAGAGGATGAAAATAGCTAATTCATATGAAATCCTCAGAAAGCACCTGCAATAAGTATGGAATAAATTTTATTGTTATCATTAGGAGAATTAACAAGTGCCAGGAATGCATTTTTTTCTGGAGCACTTTATAACCTATTTAATTTTACAACTTTACAATGTGGTATTAATATTCCATTTATAGATTAAGAAAACTAAGACTCACTCAAGTTAAATAACTGAAACTCAGACTCTAAACTGATATTTCTGCCTCTCTGTTCTGACATTGTTTATAAACAAATATTTTTAACAAACCAACAACCAACCCATCTAAATCCACTGGGATTCCATAACAATCTACTGGCTTCCTGCACTCTGAGCTCTTTGTAGTTCAGAGTGTTATGAAATAAGTCAGAGATGTTCACCTGTCTGATTTCTCCATCACTCCTCCTAATCAAAGACCTTTATAGATCTTGGTACGAGTGTCCTGGAGCAACTGACAGAGGACACAGAAGACTCAAGGAGGTTACAAATCTCTGGAGGAGACAAGTCCTGCTTCTCATGAGGAGGCTGTGGTGCTGTGCTTGGTACATGACCGTCAGGAGGCTATCAGTGATTTTCCTTCTGCCTCACTCATCAGCACAAATGTTATACTCATCATAGGAAGATTCAATCTCTCTCTCTCTCTCTCTCTCTCTCTCTCGTCTCCCGCTTTTTCGTGTCTTTAACTATTTGCTATTTTTCCACTAGTACAAGGAAAGCCATAGTTATTAGTGACATAAAAAATTCTCATTTGTGCTCAGTGATCCACTTGGTTTCTTTTCCTTCATATGGTGCTGTGTGACACACATATTCTAAGTACCAAGTGACAGGGTACTTTCCATATTTACACAATGAAATGTGCAAATATTTCGTCAAATTGTGATGGCCATTCAGAATGAAAAAAAAACTTCCTGTGGACACTCATGGATTCCCCTTGTATTACCACCAACAGTCTGTACAACATTCTTTCTATGTATGTACTATGTGAGTCTGGATTGGATTTGTTAAAAATATGTTTAGGCAATTCAGAATGAATCTACGCTTCTAGAAGACAAAGACTCCTTTTCATCAGATGATAGTCAATCACAATTGGCTGTTCACAGAATAGTCATCCCTGTTCATTATAATGTTATTTTTTTTTACTGAAATAAACAAATCAAATTGGTTTTCCATAAGATCATTTGTTCAGTTACCATCACAAAATATCTGTTTACTAAATAGTTCTGCAGAGTCTCCTGTTTTAAGACCCTGTGTGGATTAATATTTTATATTACATATATATGTGGAATGAGCACATTTTATTAAACGTAAACATGCACATGTATATTATATGTGCATATATACCAACTTAAATGACAGTTAAGCCATGGCATGGGGGCAACCTGCACTGGAGCACATAGGAGGAAAACACTGCTTGGGAGTGAGATACACCGGAGTGTGTGCTCATATCTCTGGGCCCTATCGTTTGAACAAGTTTTAATAAGAAAAAGCCCAGGGAAGGTATTTCCAGGTTGGAACACTAAGGGGACAGGCAAAGCAAGACCTACTGCCATTGGATTCAGGAAGTCATGGAATCTACATAGAAGATTAAATGGGAAGAAAGTTGTAGGACATTAGAGTGAAAAGGCAGTCCAGGAAGAAGTAGTTTCAGATAATAGGAGTAAGTCTCCAGAGGACAACTTTAAATCTCTTAGTAAGTCAAAGACAGGAATCTGCCCCCTTTGCTTATACAATCATATATTTATATCAAATTTCAGCACTAATTCCAAAGGCCAATGGAAATGCTTTACCTGGGGAGGAAATTTGCCAGCATTGAAAATCAGAGAAGGACCTCAGAAGCTCTTGGATGTCAGTAATAGAAACCAGAGTGCTATGGATACACAATTTGCATGAAATACCCTCAGGTACTTTGAAAGAGGTTGTTCTGTGACCATTAGGGTTAAAACTCAATGTAAAAAAGAAGATGAAAGTCATCTGTCAGCTCTGCAGGAGGTTCTCCCTGTTAGGCAGGGACACAGAAAGGACAGGGAGGACATGAGTGCAGCTGTGAGATGTAGGGTGTGTGTCCTGGGAGCAGGGACCAGTGGAGCTGCCCTGAATAGCTCTCAGATGTGCTCCTTTGTCAACGACCTCATCTCAGAGAGCTCAGATGTAAACCAAATATAACAAGGCAAACTTTTTAACACTGACAGGAACAAACGATGGGACCAAAAGAACCACTATCCTGAGAGAAACCATTCTCCCTCAGGGGGTGGTTCTTTTTAATAGAAATAAATGCAGGAACCATTTCATTAGCTTTGCAGATGACAGCAGAGAGTAGGATAGGGATCAAACCCTGTCAGAGAAGACTGGTGTCCCCAGGGCTCAAGGGACAAGAGAAATGTGGGCACAGAGCTGAGGTACACATATTTTTTCTAAAGATTCAAAGACCCTAGGTCCATGCCATGCTTCCTGTGAGAAAGCAGAGCACAAAGTATTCATTCCCCAGCACTTTAGAGAAGCAAAAATTTCATCCAGAAATATTGGTTAAGATGGAATTCCAATAAAACTGATTGGATAGTTGACTGAAAGCCAGCCCCCTGTTTTCCCTTCACTAATGTAGACTAGAAGTCAAGGTCTACCAATATGAAGCATTATTTTCTAGTCTTCCAAAAAAAATTCCACAGTATGAAGTGCCAAATTATTATATTTTGGAAAAACTGCCATTTGCAGCATATGGGTAAATAATTACAAACTCAAAAACTGATGTTAACTCCATCATCTGCACTGCATACGTTTGTTAGGATCAACATTGATATGTATTTATTTTAATCTTTCAGCACCACTGTATAAATATAGCCTGTCAATGTTACGACACACTTTATGCTGAATACTAACTAAAGACCGACCTTTAGTTTGCTGACTACATGAACCATGAATGCACCACCACGTTACAAAGGACATAGGATGTTAAATCTCCCCTACATTCTAAAGTTTAGATGGATTTAACTTCCCCTTCAACTTGTATTCATTCCAGCCATGCAGATTCTGCACAACCCAATGGAATGTGTGAGGAAAGAGGTCAAAGAGAGTGCATTGTAGTGCAAAACACTCTAAATGAACCGCAAGTTTCCAGAAATGGATTTTACCTTTTACATTACCATTTGGGCTAATGCAGGCAATCAACTTCTGGAACTTATTCTCTTGTTTTGATAAAGTCAGGAAGGGTAAACTCAACCTATGAGTTAAAATGCAAATGTCAAGGGTCCACATTCTCTAGAAAACAAAAGTATGGGGGTCCAAAAGAAAGACCTAAAGGACTAAATTCTAATGGCTGTAGCAGAAGTGAGCCCAAGTAGAGATGAGCATCCCACATGTGTTTTGTTACTTTGGGGCCACTCTGAGTTAGCTGATTCTAGTTTGCTCTTTGTCTGAAATACTATGGGCCACAGACTGTACCTTTCTGAGTCCCTGGCTCATGGATTCTGCTGGTAACATAGAAACAGATTTGTCCTGCAAAAAGCTCATGTCCAATACTGAGATAATATGCTATATTCAGAAATATAAATTCAATTTTGAGATAGAATAATGCTTGGCTTAAATCGAGGAAAGCAATGACCTGATGTGATAGGCAGAGTCTAGCTAAAGTAGGAGCATTTGAGTAGGAACATATGTTAGATTCCACATAGGCTTTTGGGGACCATTCATCTCATATTCTACTCGATGTCAGTTATATATTGCCACAATAATCTGAGTAAACAATTTTTCCTAACACTCGGTGGCTTAAAAATGAATTCTTTTCAGCCTTCAGGTGGATGATTTAGGCTGGACTAAGTTGCGCATTCTCCTGGTCTTAGCTGGGCTCACTGACAGGTCTGCCGGTCAGTTAGCCATGAATTAGCTGATCCAAGATGGCTTTGGCTGGGCCAACCCAGCTGATTCAGCTCTGCTCCATTGCTCTCAACTCTGTTCAGACATGTTCTCACGGCAAAGCAGAACTGGAAGAGAAATCGATGTGTAAGAACTTTTCAAGTTTCTACAAGAGTCATACCTGGTAACATTCTTCTGTTCTAAGCAAGACACCAGTTTAATTCAGAACGTGGATAGGGAAGTAGGCTCTACCTATGTCAGGAAAGGCACAGCACAGTGGCAAGACAAAAAGAGCACTTACAGGACTCCCTGAGGTGACATCCACCCATCACAAGATTCCTGCTAGGTGCTGGATTCCAGGCTTCCTAAGATGACAGCTAATCTAAAAGACAAGGACAGAGGAATCAGAGGGGGCTCATTCCTTAATACATCACTTACTTACACCCCACCACCAGCACAGGCATGGCATGCTTTGTCTTTAACTTCCTGATTCAGGGCTTACCTTCTAAGTGTGAGGTACTGGTTGCACTTTGAAGTAAATTGGAGAAAAAAAAAAGAAATAAGGCATAAACAGAAGGGAAATATGTCTATACAAATAGATTTGTTAGAACAAACTTTAGAAAACCATTTCATGTAATGAAAACTACATAAAGTATATTCATTGAGAATAAGTAATGTGTCAAGCACTGAACTAAGTACTTTCACATAGATTATCTCAGTTCTTTCTCTCTTTCACAGGCACATTAAAATTAGAAAGATTCTATTATCACATGATCCTTCCAATTTTCCTCTTAAGGAAACTGAGACTTATAGAGTTTATATAACAAGTAAACACCTTAACTGGAAACCCAGCAGTTTGAATTCAGAACCCATTAGTTGTAATGGACAAGTAAGTAATGTACATATAATTGAGTTACCCCCATAATGTTCTAAACCCTGCCCTGAAGAAAAAAGTATGCTTAAAAGCCATCACCAGAGACTAACTCTTTATTATACACTTTTCTTAAAAGTAAATGCCAAGACCCATGAACACTTTCTATAAATGAATAATGCAGTGACAACCTCAAAAATGTATAGAGTGGTGTCACGGAAAGTCTGCTTTCCTAGCAAGTTTATGTTTGAATCGGTAATTCATTTACATAGACTGTGTGTCAATCCCCCTGATTAGTGGCACTGCATATTTTAGAACTTGGCATATGCATTCTTTCATAAGACACATTTTACAGCAGCCTCCATTGTCTATGAAGAAAGTATGTCAGTGATATAGAAAGCCCAGCTTCTTTCCACACTAGTTAGGATAGACAGTCAGCCTTAATGATCACTCTGCACTCATGGATGGTGGCCAGCCCACCATGTTGATTGTCCTTCATGTGGATGAGTTACTGATTCATTCAAAAGCATGTCTTGAGCATCCACCATGCCATATACTGTGCTAAGTATTGGATACGATAAGGAACAAGGCAAACTCACAGTCAAAACAGATAAAAAATTAGTAAATGAATAACCTGGAATATTTATAAATTAAAATAAGACTTATAGGAACAATCCATACTAGATGCTTGTACCTATATGTCTGTAACTTCACTTTATTAGAATAGTTAGGGAAGGCCTTTTCCTAGCGAAAGTATTGGGCTCACTCTGACACACTGAGAAGAGTGAAAACATGTGTGCAAGGAATTCTCTTCGGTAACATGCTCAGGGAATGTAGGATCCAGATTGTCCAAATGTCCTGAAAGGAAGCAATATTTTCTGCTCTATTGTTGAAACATAAGAGCCCTCTTTCCTGCTTTGGCACATAGACTCAGTCAAGATGAATTGTGTTCTGGTTCATCAGGGACCCACAACACCCAGGGCCATTGATCTTAGGCTTCGTGATATCACCAGGTTCCAAGGAACCTTGAAAGGTCAGTCAACCTCCTCCTGCCCAGTGTGTGACTCTGGCATAGAATGAAAGGCCTGGCAGAGATGAGCAGGGGCTTGTCCTAAACCAGGGCATGGGAGTTCTCAGGGTTTTTAAAATCAATTTTAACATAGGTTTTTTAAAAAGTAGCTTCTTGCTCTTAAAATTTGTGAACTTTTTTTTTAAATTAGTAAAAATTCTAGTTATTTGAGTTTGGCTTAATTTGATAAATGTGCTTAAAAACTGAATGTAGGCACTGATCAAATTCTTAACATTATTGTTTACCAGTAACTAAAAGTTTTGTTTGTTTCTTTTTGTAGACGTTGCTCTCGTATTTTGTTTTTGTTTTCACATTGATCCAAACACTTATCAAACTCTATCATAACTTTCCCCTGACTTTCTCATTCGCTACAGTATAAACACATTCGTACTCAGTACTAAAAGGACACCAATCATTTGAGAAGCTAAAGAAAAAAATAGCAGGAAACATTTTCTTCAATTTTTCCTCTTCACCAAAGTTTTAATTGACCTTTAGGCTATATTTAAATTTTATCTATTTTTATTTAGTGCCCTAATATTCTAACTTGTGCAATTTATCTTTGCTTAAATCTGTATAATTTAACAAATGAGTTTTAGTGGAGAATGATGCTGTCTGGCAAAAAAACCACACACAAACGAACAAGAAACGTAATAGGCTGAATGTCATCTATGAGCCACATGCAGGCTGTTGGGGAGAAGACAAGCATGCCACTTTGGATTGCTGCTCCTGGTACCTCCACATCCCCTTAAATCCTGCTTACCCTGTTCTCTGCCCTCAGATACTCACCGGCGGGGAAAGACTTCTGGTTGGTTCTGCTGATTGGAGGTATTGACAGGAGATGACGGGGAAGGAGCAGGAAGACAGGATTCTTTACCTCATAAGCATATTATTAATTTTTTTTCAATTTATTTTCCCCTTTTCTTGAAGTCTCTTGACAATTGCTGTACTGTAAAGTTAAAACAATTGCAAGTTATGGTGGCAAATTATTTATATTTTCAATTTCTTTTCCTGGAAATTCCCTTATGTGATTCTCCAAATAGGTGTAACACTGGTCAAATACTTATCACTAGCTTCATGTTATGGTCTAGAAAACTGAGACTTAGAGTGATTAAATCAATGGACTAAAGCTGACACACAGATTCAGGATCCAATAAATATATGATTCTTTATTCAGGGCTCCCTTCCTTAAACCATGCTACCAAGGCAAACTGTAAACAGTTAAAGAACATCTCACCATGACTACAACATAAGATCCATAAATTTTGTTTATGAGGGATCCAAATCAGAGATCTTCAAACTATGGCCCACAGCCTAAATATGCCAGTTTGGTAAACAAAATTTCATTGGGATGAAGCTTCACCTCTTCATTTGCTTTTGGTCTGTGGCTACTCTGGCTACCCTTTGAGTAAATTGACTGCAGGATCCACAAAGCCTGAACTATTTATCACTTAGTCCTCCAAGAAAACATTTACTGAACTTTGATCTAAACAAATAAGAAAGACAAAAGTTTTCTATCAGTTACCCAGCTACAGTGCTCAAACTAAGTAGCACGTCAGTGTCCAAAGCTCTTCCCAAGTTATAGAGGAAAGATTCAACCATGTTAAGCCTTATTTTATAAATAGAATAAATAGAATCCATAAACGGTGTTTCAGGTAACTTCAAGTTCACCAGAATATTAAATTAATCATAATATGCCACTCTGTGATTACTCCAGAAAATAAAAGCATACCTTGTCTAGCTAGATTATTTATTTAAAATGTCCTTTTAAAAGATATTATGAAAAAAAATGATTCTAAAGAGAATATAGAAACAAAAGCACTTTGATTTTTTTTTTTCCTATAGCCATAAAATATACCAAGTAAAATGTGGGACACTGAGCTCAAGTGCCAGGACTTGCTAAATTTAAAACTGATTTTAATTTAGGAAAAAGTTAAAACTAATTTAAATGGCATTTTGAAGAAGAAATGTTAATGCACAATTACTCAATTATTTGTTCCATGTTTATTAGGACAAAAGACCCACCCAGGAATAAATAAACACAGTGGTTTATTCCTATGTACAACTTATCTTTCATTCGTGTTTTCTCTTAAAATTACTATTATTTAAAACTTTTTGAATTAGTGAAAATAAATAACAGAGAAGTTAGAGGTCTACTTCTTACTGTGAGGTTCCTGGAATCCAGGGATTATGATGAACAGTCAACTTTCTACGAGGCCCATTTCCACCCAGCAGGGCCATGAATCATATAGCCCACCCTCCCCCTACAGAAAGGTGCATAGGCTATCCCCCTGGCCAGCTAGAATGATTCACTTCCCCAGATGTGGGGGATTTATTCTTGGGTGGGTCTTTTGTCCAAGAAAAGCCAAGTAAGCATGAGTCTTTTGAGGGAATGGGTGTCAATATTGATAGAATAAGAGTTTATTATATTCTGAGTTATGACTTAAAGACCTTATACGCCTGAAATATCTGCTGATTATTTTCAAAATGTAAGAAAAGTCTACCTGAGAATGGAGTCAACTCAAAAGTAAGTGGAGAAGAAAGAGAGAGAGTAAGAAGAGAGAGAAAGCCTCCTAATATCTAAGTACCTGATCAATGAAAGAATGGAAATTAGCTAGCCCCTATATTTCCTATGTATGTGATCACAATCTTTCCCTTTCACGTTATTTTTGATAACTGTGTTTGAATAGGGATTTGTGATCTACAACTAAAAGTACCTTGACAGATACAAGGTGCAAAGGCAAGTCTATCAATAGAAACATTCATTGAACAATTATATACCAATGGCAATTATGAACAAAGTCTGAAAACTAGACTCTTCCAGTAGAGTGAGGTAAGTGCCTCAGGAAGGGAACAGAAGGAGGGATGCCAACTGGGCAGAGGGAGCAAGCTGATCAGAGAATAACGTGATCCATACTGAATGACACAATATCAAAAGGGTAGATGTGGTCAATTATTCAAAAATAGTTATTCTTCTGGTTTGGATATGAGGTGTCTCCTAAAATCTCATGTGTGAGACAATACAAGAAGGTTCTAAGAAGAAACAATCAGAGTAGCAAAGCCTTAATCCAATCAGTGAATTACTCACCCGATGGGATTAATCAAATGGGAACTGAGGGCAGGTGGGGTGTGGCTGGTGGAGGTGGGGCACTGGGGGCATGGCTTTGAGGTATGTATTCCTATCTGGCAACTGGAGATACCCTCTCCTTTCTGCTTCATGATCATCTTGTAAGCTCCTTCCCTCTGCCACACTCTTCTGCCATGTTGTTCTGTTTCACCTCCAGTCCTGAGGAATGGAGCTAGCTGTCTATGGACTAAGACTTCTGAATCTGTGTGCCCTTAAATAAATTCTTCCTTCTCTACAATTGTTCTGGATTGATCTTATAGTCACAGCCATGAAAAAGCTGACTAAAACAGTTATCAATGCCCATTCTGTGTTCTTGGCACAGGAAGAGACAATGGAGGACAAAATAAGACATTGTCCCTTCCCTCAGGGAGTCTACAAAGAAAGACAGTTGTCAATCAATATCACAAAAATAAATTCAGTTGATAATCTAGAAAAGAAAAGTATGTGATGCTATAAAAAACAGGGGACCAAGTGTTGACCTAGTTTGGGAAGCCAGAAAAGATTTGCATAAGGAAGTATTTTAACCATTGGCCAGGTACAGATGAGTGGGAAGAGCATTTGGTGTAGCACATTGGAAGAAGGAGACTATTTCTAAAACTCTGAGTCCAAATTGGAGGTAGAAAGAGCAATCATCCTCCTAGCTATCCTGGATGTAATAATCTGGGAATATCCTAGTCTGTACCTACTGCCCATGGGTAATTGTGAATAGTGCCCTCTTTTATCAAAAATACTCCAATTTGAATATTAAATTCAATAGACTTCTTGAACACAAACTAAATTAACCTAATTTCAATGTGGTATCCTAGATTGGATTCCAGAATGTAAAAAAAAAAAAAAGACATTAATGGAAATACTGTTAAAATCCTAGTAAATAGTTTTGTTAGTAGCAATTCATCAAGGCCATTTTTATTTTTTTTTAGTTTTGACATATGTGCCCAATAATGTATGATATGAATATTAAGGGAAACTAAAATAAGGGTATCCTGCAATCATTGGTGTCATTCAGCTTTCTGCTACTATAATGAATACCTGAAATAATCAGTTTATCAGGAGAAAAGGTTTAGTCTCCCGGTTGCAGAGGTTTCAGTCTATGATTGACTGGACTTATTGCTTGGAGCCCTTGCTGCAGTAAAGACATCAGGGGGGAAATGTGCTGCACAGGAAGCTGCTCACCTCATAACAGCTGGAAAGCAGAAAGAGGAAGAGACCAGTATGTCACAGTCCCCTTGGAGAGCAGCCCCTCTCCCAGAATGACCTAAAATCTCTCACTGCATCCAACCTCTTAAATCTTCCACCACCACCCAATGGCCCAAAGCTGAGGACCAAGCCTTTAACACATGGACCTGTAGGGGACATTTAAGATTCTTAATGCTGGTCAAGCCATAGCATTACCTATCCTTTCTTTGCAGCTTCTTTGCTAATCTAATCTTAGCTTTCTATTCTCCTTAGGATAAAAGCAAAACTCCTTATTTATTTTTTTTTTTTGCTAGAGTCAGCCTACCTTTTTAATGAACATGAAGTACTTAGAGATTTACAGAGAAGTTGCAAATGGTTTTTCAATGGATGAATGCATGTATTGGTAGACTTGTCTTTGTATCTGTCTTCATCAGGACTCTCTTCGTTGTTAAGTGACATAATCCTATTCAAACTAATAAGGCTCCTTTGCAGCCCCTAATTATGGCCCAGCCCCACTCATCCCTCTACCATGAAAGGCAGCAGACCTACCAGGAGGAATTTATGTGAGCAGAGGCACAGCCTCTTTGCACAATCCATGAGAGAACATGGAAACCTCCCCACTTTCAGGGAAAGATCCCAGAAGCGTGTGTGGTACATAGTTGACATTCAGTAACCATTAAGAAAAAGAAGGAATTAATGAAGTGAACATCAACTCCTTCACCTGTGAAATCAGCCTAATCCAAAAATAATAAGACTGGGCTTAAGTTAAGACTGTGGTGCTTACTTCAGGGCTAGCTCATAAAAAGCACTAGTCATGTTAAGTTAGTCATGTTCAAGTTGGGGAGCCCTAGGAAAAACATATGTCATTAATATTAATTTCTCTACACTGACCAACAACCAAATTCTATATTGGCACATGTAGCATGTGATAATTTCCTTCCTGTGTACCAGGCCATGAGTGTTTTATTCACCACCATGCCTCAACTACCCAGATTCCAGAGAATATGGAGATGTATGATTCATTTGGTTCCTTCTCGCAGCCTACAGAGTATCTGTCTTCAGGAAGGTGACCTCTGTGGGTCTTTATTTTTGTCTTCCTTGGCTGGGGCTGTGTATTCCTCTTCAATGATACTGAAAGTAAGTGGAAAGCCATTGGGTGCCTCTGTCTCCAAATGGAATTCACTTACTTCAATGTCACGGTCTGTCACAACCAAACTGTGCCTTATAAGAGCCATAAGTTTCTCCAAACACTGGGAATGAATGAACTACCCTTTGGGTGGATTGTGCAAGGAGGAAAAAAAAAAAAAGAACTGCTTGTCCAGGAACAGTCACGGTCAGAAGCAGCAGACGCAGCAGCTGTGGGTGGCTTTCAGTGACTTGGCTTAGATGGTGAGGAAGACCCAGAGGCATAAATTCAGAGGCTGGTTTGAGACCAGTTAAGACTTTGAAGGGAAACCCTGTGGAAGGAAATGGCCGTGATTTGTCACTGCCTGGTAGGAATATGAGTCAGGCTCCTTGGAAGCTGAAACTGTGCTTAATTTACCTGTCAAATTGCCTGATGGATTTGTCCATAGAGTTTTTAAATAGAAGATAAAGCTCTTCATTCCGTGGAGCCTTATCCTTCA